TATTGTTCAAACAGTACACTTGTTTTCTATTGTTCAAACAGTACACTTGTTTTCTATTGTTCTGTGCACCAGCATGGCTGTCATTTCTCAGTATCGTTTTTTATTTGTTTTTCGTTAGTTTTGTAGTCATGTAACTGTAAACAAAGAATAATGCTGTTGTTTTGCGCACAAGCAAATCAATAATCGTAAGCACATTCTCAAAGAAGGGATATGACTTGTGTAATTTTCTTGTGCTTATGTCTGCGAAATGTGCAACATCGTTCCCAGGCCCTTATCCCTTTGCTTATGGTCAGGCCTGACCTGACCTGACYTGGTGCGTATTTCTATGCTTATCAATCTCTATGTTATGTGAGAATCAGTCTTGGAGCTGGTTCAGTGTAACTGTGCAACGGCACGGATCATAGACACGGCATGGTCACAGAACCTCGCCTAGTAGAAACGCAAATAAAAATAATGATTCTAGAATACATACATCAGCACATTCGGAGAACAATGCGTCTGCCATCTTGAAAAGTGAGACCGGAATCACTATGTCATTTTGTAGTTTCTAAGTCAACTAATCTATCATTAAATCGTATAATAATAACTTGACATTAGCCGAGACGTTTTTTTAAGGATTTAAAAGTCCTTTAGGAGTTATGATTTAGTGATTCGAAAAGTGGGACGGTACCACTTTTGAAGATGGCGGACGCATTGTTTTCCGAAAGTACTGATGCATGTATACATCACCATAACAGCGCGGTACGGTCTTGAAACAACAGGGTCGTGTAATTTTTGTTTATTTATGGTATTCTTGTTTATTATGGTATTTTTGTTTATTTATGGTATTCTTGTTTATTTATGGTATTTTTGTTTATTTATGGTATTTTTGTTTATTTATGGTATTTTCTATTGTATCCATATGTTTGATGTCAGGTATTTGTTATGTTTTGTTATTAGGCACAGTATGAGTTTATTTACAAAGCCATTCATCATTACATTAGCACAGAGATGGCCAGACTAAAGTCATCAGACGCGGTGAGTCATTTACCAACCAATACTCCGTAGGTCACGGCTCCATCTTGAAAGCTAGCCTAGCCTTTGTATCAATACTAGCCTTGGTATCAATACCTAAGCCTTGGTATCAATACTAGCCTTGGTATCAATACTAGCCTTGGTATCAATACTAGCCTTGGTATCAATACTAGCCTTGGTATATCAATACTAGCCTTGGTATCAATACTAGCCTTGGTATCAATACTAGCCTTGGTATCAATACTAGCCTTTGTAT